GGGGGGGGGGGGGTCTTTTTAGCCTTTTAACCCATGCCTTAACTTGCCTGAGAAACAGGTTTCTAGAGCAAACAGATCCACTAGCTATAACCGTAACAAGATGCCTGCGGTATTGACACATGAAAGTACTGAAAGGTCTTGGAAATAAAAAGCACTTGAATACTTACTCTAAAATACATCAAATAGCCTCTGCAGCAGACCCGATTAGCGAGCAAAATAAATGGAAACTCCTCAGCTAGTAGACAAAATTCCTCGTCATGGATATGACCCTCAAAGAAAAGCAAAAAAACTTTTTTTTTGCTGCTCACGCCATAGGTAATCGTCAGCATGATGACGTGCAAAATGAGAGGAGTCTGGGGACGAATTTATCCCAGCTGATTGAAAATGAAAATGGTTGAAAATTAATGATTAATGAATGAGGCTGAGTATCTTATGAAGAATTATAGAGATCGAGGAGGGTGTTATCCGTCGAGTCTGTAGGCCGAGGCGGATAACACCCTCCGAGATCTCCAAAATTCTTCATTGTTTTGTTATTCATTCAAAATAATTCCTAGTTTAAAAACATAGCTAAAACATACTTACCTCCATCGATTCATCGTTGTTAAGTTCATCTTCGATAATACACGTTTAAGGTTGTTCACCTCCGCAAATATTCTCCAAATAGCAGATGTCGCTCTTCCAGTTGTCTTGTTGCTGTTGTTGCCATGTTTTTAGCTATTATTGCGCCTAGTTCTTACTCTTAAAACGAGTGAAGTGTCCGCCATTTTTGTTTCCACAACCAAAACAACTCAACCTCGTCCCCAGGTCCTCTCGGTTAACGGTGCATTAACCTGCAAAAAAGCTGCATTTTTGACGTCATTTTCTCGCTAAACACAAAATTCTTCCAAATTAGGCCATCAGTAACTGGTAGTGGAGAATTATGCGTGTGCTTTTAGCCAATCAGAATCGGGGAAATATTTTGAATGAATAATAAAGGAGGTTACCCAACTTAAAAGTATTTTTTTAAAAAAAGATAAACTGCCAACCAGAATATATAAACATCTATAATGTTATTTCGTTCTTTAAAACTTTGAAAGTAGGTAAAAAACCGGAGGACCTGAGAGAGCGACGGAAATCGAGCCCACCCAGGGTGGAGTGTTGCTATTAAAGAAATGTGGTCAAACCTCGTTAATACGGACACTGAGGGGAGCCATAGAAAGTGTCCTTATCGAGCGGGTTGAATTTAGAGAAAATGTAAGGGCAAGGGACAAGGAAAACTGTCCTTAATAACGACTGAGGTGTCCGTATTAAGCGGTTTCCGCAAAGCGAGGTTTGACTGTACCTTTTTCTATATATACCTGGATTTTTGAAAACCAGGTTAGCAAAAATATCAACTCATTCTACTACCTGGCAATTTAAAACAATAAAGCTAGCTCAAAGGCCGATTAAAAGCTTTTATCTGACGCCGGGCAGTAAGTTAATGGTCCCTAGAAGCATTCCAACGAGTCCAAATTTAAAATGATCGACGCAAATTTTAGAACATTTATTCAGTCATCTGACTTCGCGAAGTTTCAAACCGTTGTTTATTCCTTTTTTTCTCTCTCCTCCCCAGACGCTCCCGCTGGCTCCTGTTGGCTCTCGCTGGGTATCCCGATGAAAATAGCAATAACTTCAAAAAAAAAAAAGTTAGAAGGCGTGCAGAGGACGATGGGAAGAGAGAAAAGGCTGTACCCTTAACTAACAGCCAAACTGGGAAAACCGTAAACACCAGAAATATTGCTGGAATGCTATTGTGTTGCAAGGAAAAAGCCAAACAGGCGAGAGAAAACTAAACCGAGAACGTTAATAAGTTTGTGGTTTTGTGGCTTGTTCGCGTGTCCTGATCTTTGCTCTGATTGGTCACAACACAATAAATATTCCTGAAATATTTCAAGTTTTCACTGTTCTAACGGCTTAAACGTCGGTCAGTGTTGAAAATTTACAATGTCTGTTACGGATAAATCTAACTTGAATTGGAACAGAAAGGTTCTGTCTTTAGCAGCTTGCCTTCTACTTCTTTGACTTTTCAATAATAAAGCAATATGGATTTGATGACGAACTAAAAAACCCGTAAATCTCCTTGCAAGATAAATCGATACCGGCATCGTTCATTTAGGTGTCAAAGCTACCGATACAAAATAAGGGCCTGTTTACATGAAGATGGGGGACGCCAGGTAGGTGAGGTAACATGTGGTGGGTTACCCCACCTAACATGTAAATGTGATTACATTAAAATGAGAGATTATATGGACAGGTGGGTTACCCCACCTAAGCGGGTTACCTCACCTACCTGGGGTGCCTTAGGGCCTGTTTACATGGAGGTGGGGGAGATAACAAGCAACCGATGTTATTTGTATTAACAATGAATTGTGCAGCGCCTTTTTGAATCGAGTTTTGTTCCGTGCCAGAATT